CCACTGCACAGCAGTGTTCTGGGGTGCCCATGCCTTCAATAATCCGGTACATCGGAGAGAACTGAGACTCGGAATATCGACTAAAAATTACATTTTGAATATTCTATTCCCGATTTTAGATTGGCTTCAAATTATCCGCTGACCAATAGAACTATAGACTGGGCCCCGTGATCAAAATAACTCCGGCCCTTCGGGCTCGCGTATAACTCTGGCCCTTTGTTTTTTTTTTTTTTTGATTTGGGAATTCAAATTTTGATTATTTCCGGCTCTTGATTGGCTTTAAATTTTGAATATTCTCGGCTTTTGATTGGGTTCAAAATAACCTATAAATCGAGATTGGATAAAAACATATGACAACGTTGCTCATGATACAACAAACGTCAAAAAATTGAAATTTCAAAGTAGGCCTTGGTTTTTTTGACAGTCGATATAAAATGGCGTCTTTTTGTTTCAAAGATTACGGTCCGAAGGGCCGAAGTATTAAAATCAGTTGACAATGAAAGGGTTCATATAAATTCGGCCCTTCGCGCTCGTATAATTCCGGCCCTTCGGGTTCGCATGACTCCGGCCCTTCGGACTCGTATAACCTCGGCCCTTTGAGATCATAATTGAGATGATCTCAGCCTTCCAGAATCGAGATTTGAAAAAAAAAACATATGGCAACATTGCTTATAATACACAAACGTCAAAAAATTGGCCAGTCCCCTGTTTGGCTACTTCCTACGTATTCGTCGAGGCTAAATCTATATGTCCATGTGGGTTTTTTTTTTTTAAATTTTGACAATTATCAATGTTAAAAATGTTTACCTTTTCTTTTTTTCAAAAAACAAATGTCAGAAAACGATCACCCAGGCTCCGAAAACACTAAAATAAAAAGTTTCATCGATATATGTCAAAAACCAACGACATGGCAACGCCGGACGTCTTTTTTGACATATGTTGAAAAAAAATTTGGTACTTTCTACGTATTCGCCGAGGCTAAATCTATATGCCCATGTGGGTTTTTTTAAATTTCGACAGCTGTCAATCTCAAAAAAAAAACGTCGTTTTTTAGTGGGTTTTAGGGTGAGATTTATATAGCAACATGTAGCAACATTTATATGAAAATTTAATGAATTCATTTGTAGCAACAGTTGGTAGAAAAAATTCAATTTCCCGTCCGGTTTGGAATTCGAATTTTTGAATTTTCCCGGCTCCTGATTGGTTTGGGGATTCGAATTTTGATTATTCCCGGCTCCTGATTGGCTTTAAATTTTGAATATTCCCGGCTCTTGATTGGGTTTAAAATAACCTATAATCTCGGCCTTTCGAGCTGGCAACACTGCTCATGATACAACAAACGTAAAAAAATTGAAATTTCAAAGTAGACTTTGGTTTTTTCGACAATCTTTACAAAATGAGGTCTTTTTGTTTCAAAGATTACGGCCCGAAGGGCCGGAGTATTAAAATCAGTTGACAATGAGCGGATAAATTTTGATGTCACCTGTCAAATTTGACACATGTTCGACTTTTTCGCCGCTCTACTATAAAAGCTACGAAAATCAAACCCCGGTACAAGGCAGTTTCACGACGCTAACTATCGATTTGCGTCAAAAAAATTTGACAGCTGTCAACGTCAAAAAAAAGTTTGTTTTTTTATTTTGCGAATTTCGAGAAAAAAAGTGGTGGAAAACGATCCCCGGACCCCAAAAACCCTAAATAGAAATTTATTTTTATTTCAAATTTTATTTTTATTTCAAATCAAATAACAATACAATATTTTTACCAATGTATTATAAGTGTGCACAATAGACATAGTCTGTGCGTGCACATTATTCATTATTTATTAGCAACTGTCACATTATGGCACAAGATAGATAATAATTAGTTAGGTATACAATAATAGCGAAAATTCGAAGGAAAAATTATACTTGTATAATTACAATCGAAACCCTATATTTTTAAAAGAAGATAATTGAATATGTTTGAAATTAATTCGATTTATATGTGGCAATGTACCATGTGCGACATCTCTTGTTCATGAACTTAGATCAAAAACTATTTGGAGAACCAGTTAATACTCCGATCCCATAACCAGTTGTGCAACTTGTTTTTAATTTTCTTGTAGGGTTTATCTTTTATTTCTTTGGGCAGCATATTATAGATTTTAGGTACTGTATATAGAAGACTATGCTGACATTTTGTGAATTTGGCATTGGGGGTTAAAGCTTTTTGATTTGTGATTTGCCTGGTATTTTTACCATGCGAGACATGTTGAATGAGCAAATTATTTTTAGATATGAGTCTAACAACAGACTTAATGTATATTTGATTTATTTTCAGTACTTTTGCTTCAAGAAATAAACTGCTAGTGGAAAAAATTTTGTTTTTATTTAACATAACTTTCAGTACATATTTCTGGGTGATCACTAGAGGATTGAGAACTGTCTTGCACGCTGCTCCCCATACTGATATGCAATAACTTAGGATAGACTCCACTATTGCATAGTATACTGTTTTCAATAGGTTTCTTTGCATCAATTGCCTTAATTGATAGAATTTATAAATTAGCTTTCGTACTTTGATGGATATATATTCAACCTGTTTTTGCCATTTTAAATTGGAATCAAAAATTATTCCTAAGTATTTAATTTCATGTTTCCTCTCGATTTTTAGACTGCAATTACATGGAGTTCCCTCCTGACATTCTACCTCATGAACAGTTATTTGAGTGTATGGAGCATCAGCTGCTTTGTTCATAGAAAAACACAGGAAGTTTGACTTTTGTGCGTTTAGTGTTAAATAGTTTGTATCAAACCAAGCCTTTATTAATTTAATAGAGTTTTCTGCTATTTTCTTGACCTCTCCCTATGTTTTTTGTTTTACTATCACTGCTGTATCATCCGCGAAGCAGACAATCTCCACGTCCGGTAGTAAACCCATAATCTCATTAATGTAAATTGAGAAAAGGACTGGTCCCAGCACTGTCCCCTGCGGCACACCAAATTCCAGCAACCTTTGTTCACTTATAGACTCATTGATTTTCACACTTTGCATTCTATTTGTAAGATAACTTCTGAATAAGTGGAGTGCATTCCCACGTATGCCCATCTAATTTAGTTAGCAGAATTTGGTGTGTCACAGTGTCAAATGCCTTACCCAGATCCAAAAAAATTCCCATGCATTTTAAATTGTCTTTAAAACAGTGATTAACCTGCTACCCAGGTGACAGCATCTTCAGTGTTGCAGTTTTCTGTAAATCCTTTTTGATTTTCAGAAAGAAGGTTGTTAACTTTTAAATATTCCCTTAGTCTGAGCGCAATACACTTCTCGACCAATTTTGAAATGTTACTTGTAAGAGCTATAGGGCGGTAGTTACTAAGGTTTTTTTTGTCACCAGATTTATGGATCGGAGTAATGATAGCATACTTAAAGATTTGTGGGAAGACACCAGATTCAAGAACCAGGTTGACCAGATGTAGCAATGGCTTTAGCATGGCATTATGATTTTGCTTAATTATTTCAACAGTAATGTTATCATTACCCGGTGCTGCTTTATTTTTGAGTGAATTTATTAGAATTATTAATTCATTTTGTAATATGGGTCTCAAAAATATTGATTAACTTATTGATGTACTATTAAATTTAATTTTAGATTTTGGTTGCTTTATTTTATTGGACATTTTGCTCCCTATTTCACTAAAATACTTATTAAAGGTCCTGGCCATTTCCACATCCAGCCTTACCTCCGTTCCATCCTCTTTAACAATCGAACTTATTTTGTTGTAAGAATGACATTTTTCATTTGTAGCCTCTCTGATAATATTCCACGTTTTCCTAATGTCTTTATTAACTAGCCCTATCTTTTTGGTATAGTATGAGTTTTTTGCATTTTTAATTAAATTGTTCAACATATTTCTATACTCCTTAAATCTTTTCCGGGAGTCATCAGTTTTGTGAATGACACTTAGCTTTTTGAGTTTGTCCCTATGCCGAATTGACCTTATCAAGCCCAGAGAAATCCAGGGTTTTAGCTTCCTATTTTTACACTTTATATGCATTTTTTCTGTAGCTGAGGCTACATGTGATTAAAGTATATTTATAAACAAGTCTGCACAGACATCAGCATCCCTAGAAGCCAACACACTCTCCCAGTTTTCATTTTTTAGGGTATTGTTTAGTTTTTCAAGATTTGTTTTGAGAATTTGTTTATCATTTTCAGATTTTACTTCATTTTTAATATTTAAATTTAAGAGAATTGGGTAGTGATCTGATATGCCACTGTACATTATTTTAGAGCTAGGTTTAAATTTATTGTGAGTGTGCTTTATAAAAAAGTGGTCTATAATTGATGGAAGCTGACCATGTCTTTCTCTGGTAGGCTTGTCTACTGCGCTATAAAAACCAAAAGAATGAAGGCAATTCAAATACTCAACAACCACAGGGCTTCCAGTCTCACTTATATTTATATTGATGTCACCCAGGAAGACTTCCACGGCATATTTTTTTGTAATTTTTTCAGAAAAAAGACTGTTTAGATCCATTACAAATTTGTAGATGGTAGCCTATAAGTTCCTGTTAACCCTATTTTTAAGTTATTTTTATTTAAGATTACTCTTTGAAATTTAAAGTTACCAACAATATGAATTGTGGAGTCCCTAACATATTCAGACTTAACGTATATCACAAACCCATCACATTTATTTATTTGGCTCGCATTATAAATGGCATCATAACCAGGTATTTGCACATTTTGCAAACTATTTATTGAGTTTGTTTCTGAGATTCCTATCGCCTCAAAATCACCTTCGAATGAGCCTAGGTACGCTATTAGATTATTAAAATTTTTATATAGACTACAGATATTTATATGAATTATATTTAGGTCACTTACGGAAAACTTTATGTTAGATATATCATCACAGTAATTACAATCACAAATTAAAAAATTGTCCAGGATCCCACCTGGCTCCATTTATGCAATGTAAACCCACATTCATTTGTCTACCCTGTCCTCCTACATTGTTGCATTGCTGATCATTTCAGTCACCTGCTCCTCCGACTTGATTCGGATAGCATTTGTCCCTTCATTGATCTTTGCTAATACTGTTCCTCCTCTCTGCCATACAAATTGGTATCCATAGTTTTTCAACTGATAGGCATTTCTTAAGAGCTTATACGTTGACACAGTCAATTCTTCGTTTACATATATAAATTTGGTATTTGGAATATTACAGATGTCGCCAGACAATTTACCCTTTTGGTAGCGCTTTTTCAAGAGTTGGATCTTTTTTTCTACGCTGCACAGTTTCACCTGTACCAGTGCACCATTCTCCCTTGGATTAATTAGTTTTACATCAACAATGTCCTGATTAGTAACCGAATCATCTAGAAATTTGAGCACTCTCATGGTCTTGTTCTTCACATGGTCGATTTCCTCTCTGGGATCATTGCAGATTCCAGTTATTACAATATTGTCTCGTATTTTGAGACTTTCCTCACGCCGAACAAAGCCCTTGACATACTCCAGTTCAGTTTTTAGGTATTGATTTTCGGCCCTAATCTCCCCCATGCACTCCTCCATTTTCTTATTCTTATCCTTTTCGGCCTCGAAGAGATTATTTATGAATTGTAAGGACTCCTGGAGAACTTTGATTTCTTTCCCAAATTCTCTTCTCATTTCCTGTAATTCTGACAGAATTCTTTTGACATCATCGTTTTGAGGTTGGGGTTGGCCTTCGGTCAGCTGTTCAAAAGACAGCTGGCCAAAAGCCACCGGGGCTGTCACAGGTAAGCCGGCACCATGAACACTTGCTCTAGTGCCAGAATTTTGCAAAGAGGAAGAAGACAGGGTTAAACTCTTCCTAACCTCACTATGTTTACACTTTCCACATTTCCATGATATTTTATCCTTCTGCAGTCTTCGGATCTCCCCTTCATGCACCCCAACGCAGTCAGGGTGGAACCACCTCTGGCAAGTAGCACAATTCAAACTAGGCTTAGATTTAGTTATATTTTTATCACAAATGCCACACTTCAGTGATTTTCCGTTCGCCATCTTGCGCGCGCCACATACAGAGAAGTGTATTGCGCTCAGACTAAGGGAATATTTAAAAGTTAACAACCTTCTTTCTGAAAATCAAAAAGGATTTACAGAAAACTGCAACACTGAAGATGCTGTCACCTGGGTAGCAGATAGGGTTAATCACTGTTTTAAAGACAATTTAAAATGCATGGGAATTTTTTTGGATCTGGGTAAGGCATTTGACACTGTGACACACCAAATCCCAAAAAAAAACCAACGAAAATGACATTTCAAAACCTACTTGATGAAAGTAAAGTTTTTCTCACTTACCCCGTTGAAAAATTGGAAATTTTTGGTGGAAGATGAAGAAAACTCAAAGCCTCGTACTTTAAATCAGTTTTCCCGACTGATAAAGCCCCGGAAAAGTGAAAAATTCGAAGAAAAACTGGATAAAAATATAATAAAAAACACGTCAATTGAAAATGGCCGACTGTCAAAAATGCTTCCTTGATTGAAGTTAGCCACATGTTGCCACATCAAAAGCATTTTAAATGGGATTTTGATAATTATGGCATTTAAAACTAGAAATTTTTACTAAAAAATGAAGAAAACTCAAAACCTCGTATGTTAAATCGTTTTTTCCATTAAAAAACCCCGGAAAAGTCGAAAATTCGAGAAAAAACTGGCAAAAAATCATAAGACGTCAATTCAAAATGGCCAACTAAAAGCAATGTTGCTACATTATAATAATTAAAATTCCCCAAATAAATCATAGGAAACTTGTTTTTAGTTCAATTTCAATGCAAATTACATTATAAGGTTTACTTATTAATTATAGTAAGTAAGACAAAGTCAACGATAAAGTAGCAAAAACCACCGTTTTCTGAAAAAAGGAAATCTTAAAAAAACCCCACAGAAAACCAACATTTCAAAGTCAATTTGATAAAACTAAAGTTTTCGAATATTTCCGGCTCTTTGATTGGACGCTAAAAATCGCATTTTAAATACTCCCGGTTTTTAATTGGCTTCAAATTATCTGTTGACCAATAGAATTATAGACTGAGCCTCGTGATTAAAATAACTCTGGCCCTTCGGGCTTGCATATAACTCCGGCCCTTCGGGCTCGCGTATAACTCCGGTTCGGCCCTTCGGGCTCGTATTACTCCAACCCTTTAAGCTCGCATGTAATTCCGGCCCTTCGGGCTCGTATTACTGAGTATCCCAGATTCACAGATTTTTGTCGTGGAGGCGCGGGATTGATTGAAATAATGTTGTCAGATTTTTCTAAATTACATTGAAATATCGAAATTTGTAAATTATTATTTCAATTAGGAATCAGGAATTAAAAACTGAGATTGAATTTTTGAGGGAGGCTTAGCCTCTCCTGCCTCCTCTGACGAGCCGCCGCTGACCCTAACGCAATTTAACGTTTCAAAGTAGGCCTTGTAGTTTTTGACAGTTAATTTAAAATGGCTGGGTTGTTTCCAAGACCTACTTGATTTGATAAATTTTTTGCTTACAGTTATCTGTATTACCGACATCGATTAAAACCTGGGCTGGGATCACGACAAGTAGAAATCCACTAGAATTCTACTTTCATGACGTTGCCTAGCAACGGTGATCATCGCCTGTAGTATACGCGATAAATAGGTCGCGAGTGACGTTATGAAAATAGAATTCTACTTGTTATAATCCCAGTCCAGGATTGCTTCAAGGTTCACTTAGTTTTTGATAAGTAGTAATCTTATCGCTTGTCATAAATGATATATGACATTTTGCCCAATAGTGTTGCCGATGTTTATATAATTACTGTTATGGAAAATTTGAAATTTGCAAGGCCTACTTGGGCTTTTTTTTTGTATAAATTCGAGCCTCAATGATTGACACAATATTTGTTATAAGTTGTAGTTGGCAACACTGTTTGACAAGGGACAAAGTAGGCATTGCAAAATTTTCAAATTTAAATATGGCGACCTGTAATATTGACATTGCAATACATATATGTTTCCATAGCCTACTTGGTTTGATATAAGCCCGTAAGGCGAGAATTTTCCTGAAAAATCAACTTTTAAGATTTCTGGTGATTTTTTTTTTTTTAAATCTGGTGATTTTTCATTCCAATTTCTGGTGAATTTAATTTTTTTTGACCTGGCAACAGTGATAATCAATAATAATATAGAAAACTAAACCAAAAGTGGGTTATAATTAAGATATATAAAAATGACAATGTATGAAGAGCTTCTTTATACAATTGATCCTCAATCATTCATGTCATGTAAAATGTCTCTATCCGAAAAACCACACAAAGACTAATATGAGTAACAATTGCTCCATTTCTGCCCCGTATCACATTAAAATGTTGTGGTCAGAGAAAAAAAAAATTTCTCATCGTACAAATAATTCAACCGACAGGTATACGAAAACTGAAAAAAAAAAGAACCTTTATTTTCTAAAGGGCCAGGCATTGAGCCTTCTGACGTGTTGTTTGACAATGTACTTATGTTGTCCACACCTCCGTTGAATGGATGTCAGCCGCAGGATCCGATTGGACCCGACAGCCCTGACAAAAGGGCCTTTTGCGGAATAAACATTCCAACACTTGAAAGGTAATACTTTTAATCCAGTAAACAGTCAAAACAGCCCGGTACCTTCGAGATCGAAACATAAAAGGTGGGTCTAATAATACCTATACAATAGAATTTAATACCATTAAATTGTGCCCCTAAATAACTATTAGAAATTCTTTCCAATATATGAATTAATAATATAATAATAATTAAAACAACCTAGCTGGCAAAAAGTTTTTTAATTGATTTGTCTCATTACTCTTTTGCCTATTTTCGCGCGTCTACGTCATTACGGCATTTAAACGTTAATTACGTCATCAACGAAAAGCCTCAAGTACCTTCGACGCCTCCAACATAGAGCCAAAAAGAGAGAAAAGAATGCCTTAATGAATATTGACGCAGTAATTACTGATCTCGAATCCAGGGACGGATTATAATAAAGTTTTTTAATGGGATTCGGGAGGAAAATTTGCAGATCTGACAAAACGCTTAATTGAGGGAATTAAAGACGGGATTATAATTAACGGTAATAATTGAGGGAGATTATTGGGAAAAAAGTTGAATTTTGTTTGAATTTTCGTTGCTTTCCAGTTAAAAGTTTGCATTTACAGACTTTGATATTAGCATTATTTCTGCCATGAGTCAAATATAAAACGACTTCAAGTACCTACTTTTTAAAGCTAAAAATGTCAAAAATCATTTGGACCTCTCTAGTTCAACTTTGGATCTCTCAAATAGTCAAAAATCAAAGTTTTACATTTCTTCAATTCAATTTTTGTAATTAGAAGCGCCGGGATTAGAATTTTAATGCCCTTCTAGTTCAAATTTCAAGTTAAAATCACTTAGAAAAATGCTCCAGAGCAAGTATAGAGATTATGAGTACTCTAAAGCAGCATGATGTTACTCAATCTCGTTTGAAATAGGATAGGTAATGAAAAAAATTGCATTTAGCAATTAGAGCCACTCAAAGCAAAGACTTAAAAGACTCAAAGTTCCAGGATCTCACAGTTTATCCTCATTATGGTTTTTAAGAACTCTTGAAATAATCTTAGGGCTTTCTTCGCTAGACGTTAACAAAACTAACACCAACAGTATCAGGACTCATCTCCAAATCATCTAGAAGACAAGTTATAAAGTAGGCGCTGTAGGGCATCAGGCTCCAGTGTTTTTTGATAAGCTAAGAACAACAAAATTAACTTGTGTGCGATGGTTCTTACGGTTAATATACAGTTTTGGTTCTAAAATCTTCTGCTTCTCTGTACCACCAGAGTTTGCAGTACCTTTAAAACTGACTAGCATTATTTTTAAGCTTTTTCCTTTTCTGACATCCAAAAACGCTGAAAATACTGGGAATTTGATGCTGTAATAATTATTGTTAATCGATTTTTCTGTTTTTGATTCAAATGATTTGATATTATTAGATCCAAAATGGTAAGGATATATTTTTAATATCGGGACTATAAATCAATCCTTATCTATGATGGATTGCAGATTTTAAAGTTCGTATTACATCTGTGTATTTTTCCGTGTATTTCTTCATGTAGGGTTCCAAAATTATTTTGTTTCTTTTAATGCTGATTTATGTTGCATTTGAAGTTTTTCGGTTGTCACCCTGTGAACTACATGAAGAAATTCACGTAAAAATACACATATGTAATACGGGCTCAATCCAAGATTAAGCATTGACGAGAATATTTATTTTCCGCACACTTTTTTATATTCACTTGGTCATAATATTTCTGACATTTTGCCAATCTCTTGTTGAAATATCTTGGAAATTTGCCCTTATAAATTTGTAGGTAGTCATTAAGATTCTCCTAAAAATGATATAAGAATTTGCTACATCAATGTCAAGTTCCTTATCATTAAAATTCTACTTCTTACCTGAATCTCGAACGTCTCAGAAAGCTGTTATAAGAGTTCAGATTTTTAGAGTAACTGACTCTTGATGCGTTGAAAAATTTTTTAAAGAATTTTTCTAATTGTTTAAATTATGATTATAATTGGCTCTTAAAATAGAGTTAATTATGAGCTGGAAATATTTCAAAATTTGATAATCAATGAACGTCTCAATAAACTATTCAGTGTCAAAATTTTCATAATTACTGGCTCTTGATTCGCTGGATAGTTTTTCTAAGAGACTAAGTCTAATCAAGAGCCTCCAATTGTCTGAATTTTGATTATAATTGGCTCTCAAAATAAAGTAAATCATAAGCCGGAAATATTTCAAATTTTGATAACCAATCAACGTCTCAAAAAGCTGTTTAGTGTCCAAATTTTTATTATTACTGACTCTTTATTAGCTGAATAGTTTTCCTAAGACCAATCAAGAGCTTCCAATTGTTTGAATTTTGATTATAATTGGCTTTTAAAATAGAGCTGGAAGTACCTATTTCAAATTTTATTAAAAGCTGTTTAGATTCTAAAAGGCTCTTGATTGGCTGGATAATTTTCCTGAAAGTAATCAAGAGCCGCTAATTGTTTGAATTTTGATTATAATTCATCATGAGCTGGACATGTTTCAAATTTTGATAACCAAT